GTAAAAATATAAGGTAAATCTCAAGTATAAAAATTTTTCTGAAAAAAGACGTAATTCACTTACTAAAAATTCAAATTTAATGAATTTGATTTGTTTTCTTAATTTAGTAAATTTGTTGTCTTGTTTCTATCGTCTCTGTATCGCAAAAATATCCAACAGAGAAAACTTCGAACTTTGAATGAGTATTGTCTCTAACATGAAATGATACTCCGACACACTGGATTGAATTAAGATTTTTTTTTTTTTTTTTCTTTAGCTGCTCTTACTGACTTGATTTCATTCGTAGACGAGTTCCGAGATCCGGAGCGGAGAAGCTATCTTCGCCGTGACTCGTCAATTATAATAAGGCGCGTAATGAATGGGCGCCTTCACGATCCGTGATAGAAACGAAAGACGAGAAAAAAAGAAAGGCTGATATCCTCGTCTACTCTTAAGCGCATCGACGATCACCGCGTCAACGGGACGCTCGGCTTAACGCGAGACGTAGTAATGAGCCCGTAAGATAGAAGTAAATGCAGAAGGGCCGTCACTTATACGTATTTATCCGGCATGTCTTGCCGCGACAAACCGTATAATATGATTCACATTATACGAGCGACGCGTACACACACGCGAGAAGTTGTGCAAAACTTCGTCCGCGGGTACTCGCGTTGTGTGTTCGTAACACGGGAGAAATCTTTAATCTTCGTCCGACGACGCGTGTTGAAGCTAAACTTTTGCCCTCTGGAAAAGACACGACACACAGCGAGAAGAAAGAGAAACCTGAGATAAAATTTAAAAAAAATTTAATTTTTACTCCGGCTTGTAAAAATAAACGAGTTTGGTTCTCTCTCTCTCTCTCTCTTTCAGCTGTTTTAGTATAATTATCATCTCGTTATATAAATATCTGTGCTGTTACTCTTTAATTAACCGCAACGTGGATATTGCAGCGAAAGATATTTAAAAAGCTTTTCGCTGATATTTGTAATTAGTGTAATATTTTTGTGATATACAGAAATGACAAATTTACAAAATTAAAGCGAGGAATTAATCTGAAAAAGTACAAAAAAAAAAAACAACTTTCGACTCCTTAATTGTTATTTCACAAGCCAAACGAGAGTTCTAGTTCTTGAAATATTTCCGATGTCCGAGATAATTAAACCTTTATACTTCGACGTCGCGCTTTGATCACTCACGCTTTGCGTCTCGTATTTTAATATCCGACGGATAAAAAACCCGTGGCCGGAAGACGTGTCACGATGACGACACGCGAGACGATTCGCATTTTCCGAGAGAAAAACCCAATATGTATATGAGTGTGTTAGACATCGGGTAAGTACGCGTAACTTACGTTGCAACGCGCCGATGAGAAAGAGAGAGAGAGAGAGAGAGAGTCTATGTGCATATGGTGTTCGAATATACGTTCCGATGCACCCCGACGTTTGTGTCCGCCCATGTGTGAGCGCACACGTATGTATATATACGCAGCTTTCCATCGCATCGCGCACTAATCACGGTAAAAGCAGCAGCTAGCGCGTTATATCCGTCATCCGACGTGTCTTGCCTTACTTAATGGAAATATGAGAGGTGTCACTTTTGCGTCTCTCGTAACGTCTCTTTCTATATCTGTTTTTTTTTTTTTGTTAAATCTATTTTTAGAAATACCACCGGGACATTATTATTCCATTGCTGCAAAAATAATCATCCGCGCGATGATATTCGTCGGAAATTCAGTGTAAACAAAATGCAACAACTAAATCTCTCAAAGGAAAGCCAGACGAGTCTGTCCTCGAAATGTTTTTAAAAACTACTTTGCAACACGGCGTTTGTTTTTTCTGTACAGTATAATTTATTTATAGACACACAACACACGCGTAAATTATGATAAAAGAAATTAATTCATTTGTTCTTAGGTTGTGTGTGTGTGTGTGTGCGCGCGCGCGCGCGGCGCCGGAAAAGAATTATGGAATCAAACGAAACTAAAAAAAAAAAAAAAAGCGTCATTGTTGCAATTACCGGTGCTAAAGATCGTGCCGAGATCGATTACACTCGTCGCATGTTGCACGCAATCGTAGCTTTTTAGATTTGCATCTCGCGCTATCCCTGTCCACCTGTGACCACCACTACTAGGGCAAATTGTGATTTATGCACGCAACGTGTGCGACCGCCTGACGAAAGAGAATTGTGAACGTAATGAGTTATGGTGGCTCGCTCCTAATTCAGATATATGGGCGTGTAATCAGTCTTTCGCTTGACACGTCGCGTCATCGCGTCTCATCCGTGTCATCGCGATATTGTTCTTTTTTTTTTTTTTTTTTTTTTTATATATATATATCTAGGATTATCCTCTATCGCGTATAACTGCGTTTTAATCTTGGTAACCTGACTTGTCACACGCGACGGAAGTCGGAATCAATTATTTTCCTTTCGTTGCATGAGGATGCATTTTTTTTTTTTTTTTTTCAATTACTAGACTAGATTAATCGTCATTTACTTAATTTTCTTATCTCCCCTTATCTCAAAACTCGTCTTGTTTTCTCTCAAACTTGATTAAAAAAGTATTGTTATATTATGAAAGCCTCAAAATATACTAATGTTACACACAAATTCAATTAGATTAGTAGAATAACGTGTTCGTGAATCCGATTGTAATGCAATTACAGTTCAACACACATAATCTTACGCGTAAATTTATACATGAAATCACACATTTCTCAGCTTTAGTTAAGCAGCGCGTGTGGTTCACGGTAACACACCGTCCGTGTTGTATATAAATTGCGGTAATAGATGGTAATTATATTATTGCACGCGCACAGAGCGGTAATGCCGCCGTATCGATTTGCGCCCACCTATGATTTAATATCCGCGACCGTTTTGCTATGAAATTGCACTCGAATCGGATAATAGCGCCTGGTATCAAAGAGGCAAACACCTCTCTGTCTCTCTCTCTTTCTCTCTTTCTCTCCTCTCTCCTTCTCTTCCTCTCCTTCTCTCTTTCTCTCATCTTCCTATCTCTCTCTCTCTCTCTCTTTCTCTTTTCGTTCTCTATGCTCTAGCGCCGGTCTCTAGGGCTGCGTGTTCGTTGAACCAACCCTTGATAGGTGCACTTTTGGGGTAGCTAACCGGTCCCCTACAGTATAGTAACTATGCTTCAGGCCTCAAGTGCCCGCCGAGAGACGTGTAAGGGCGAAGGGCCGCATGCCATCCATGATGCGACAAGCTACCGCGTCCAAGATGAGATTTCAAATATTCCACGACACCGATGTAATCTGTTAATGAACCAGCCCCTTCGGGGAAGCGCGTTTGAACATTATGATCTCGCTCACTTCGTGTGCGATAATCACTTCATATGAGATTTTCTCTTTTTGCACTCGCGTGTATAAATTTTTATTTTATACGGAATTTTATAATAGATTTACATATAATTACATTAAATATATAACAAATATAAATTTTGTTCACCTAGTGCAAAACATTTTTGTCTATTCCGTTATTATTAGCGTCATTGTGTTAGCGCGTCTTCTCTACAGAGTGAAACAGTTTACAAGATAATTTTAAATAAACAAATCGATAAAATTGATTTATGAGCAAAGAGTCAAAAAAAGTTTTAGAATCGCGGAAAGTGTATATAAACGTTAAATAGTGATGTCACAAGTTTTGAAAGCGTATGAATTATAAGTGAAAAGAAGGAAGTTCGATTTTGCTATGTGAATCACTGACATTGTTTTGTTTTTTTTTTTTTTTTTATCGTCACGAGCGGAATGTCCTGTCGTAAAAGTATTCTCGCCGCGAATACTTTCAGGCAACATGATACAAAGCAGAGAGAGGAGAGATCTAACGGTTCTATCGTGCTGTGTTATTTTTTGCTCCTTTTTACTTAACATCGGTCGTGAAGTTTCCTTTGAGACACGTGAGCTTCCCCACCGCAAAGCACAGGCAATTTTGGTTTAAAAGCGAGGCTTATCGTAGAGTTATGTCATACGCCGATATACGTGACAGCGGCATATAACATGCGGCGAGAGGACCTTCACTACAGACGTTTTTTCGCAATTGTTGGGAGTTTTTAAAAAAAAAAAAAAAAAAACGAACAAAGAGCAAGAATTATAAAGAAAAAAATGCAAATAGAACAGAGTTAGAGAAAAATTGTTATATCTTTGATATTATTTACATGTATACACGCTAAAAACTAAACTAACGAAATCAAAATTAAGCTCAAATATAATAGCATCTGTAATTACGCACATCATACAAGTGTAATTAAACTAAAAACTTCAAAATATAAAAATAAGAGGAGAAAGAGAGAGGTAAGTCATTCTTCCAGAGAAATAGAAAAGTTTAGCTCATTCTCAGAGTTTTTCGTATCGCGGAAAACCGTGAAGAACTGACTGATCGTGCAAAATGAACGACATCATTAGCGGCATGAATCGCGCTTGTTTTCTGGCCCAAGCAATCTATGTCTCTCTCTCTCTCTTTCTCTCTTGCATTCTCGCGATTCAGTCTGTAGAACGCAAATGCGCGAGTTGTCTCGAGCTTCGTCGACACGCCGACGTAGCGGAATACATGTCCGCTAAATGTCGGGCAATTAAAACCGGAGGAGCAAATTAGCCGAGACTAGAGCTCATTAGTTTTCACTGTCTCATAATGATGACAGTGAGGAAACGTTACGTCAAATAAATAGGAGATGCTATTGGGATAGGGTAAGCTCTCCCCGAGCCTGCGCGCACACAAAGATTTTTAAACACATAGATACGCAAATACGAATATACGATAAGCGATTGATAAATATCCGATATATATAGTAATGATATATAGTAATGATCACATTGTTGACAACAGTTTCATTTCTCAGAACAACAAATATCAAACACCTCATTATCGTAGTGTTTCTATGACAATGGTGGGAGACAAAGTTACTATATACATTATTTATTAATATACGAATACAAAAATGTGTTTACTTTTATATATTATATCTGTATCCTTAATAAATAAAATGCAATCCTGTCGTATTTGTATGAAAATATTTCTCACGCTTCTCACAAAGATATCTTGTATATAATACAATTACTTACAATCATCGCATTTGATGCTTTCGCGATTCCAAAACCTATTAAAAAACCTGTTACACATATGGGTTGGAACTGCGTTCGTGTCATTTTTATATAAAATCATGTAAGTGGCATATCACACGCGATCGCTCATATTCTATATTATTCTTGATCCGAAAATTCTTGACTGGCCAGCTGATAGAAATAGGAATCGGCATTTTGAATCAATATATTAGGCTCGTCGAATTCCAACACTTCTCCATCTCCCATCACTAAAACTCTGCGGAGAAGATAAATAAAAATTGCAGACAATAATTGACAAATTAAATACATCGTCTGTCTTTCTGCGCAACCAAATAATTGAATAAACAAAAGATTAAAAGAAATACCTATCACAGTGCATAATCGTTCTTATTCTATGAGCGATGGTAATAACCGTCGCACTTTGGAAAGAAGACTTTATCGTCGCTTGGATAAATTTATCCGTTTCGTGATCTACATTTGCAGTTGCTTCGTCAATACAAACAATCTGCAAATAAGTACGTTTATTATGAATACGCACGGTTTTCGAAAACAAAATGTTTTCTTATGTGCAAACAGAATTACAAAGAAAATACCTTAGCATTATGTAGCACAGCTCTAACTAAGCAGAACAATTGTCTCTGACCGGCGCTAAGATTATTGCCACCTTCATCCAAAACAGCGCCTAAGCCACCTAATCGATAAACCAAAGAATGTACTTTACACTTTTCGAGAGCTTTGTATATATGCATATCGGTATACTGATCTAGAGGATCAACGTTTTCTCGTATGGTACCCGAAAAGAGAAACGGATCTTGTGGTATAATAGCTAAGCGGGATCTGAAAAGAGTTATATTCAAATTCTTATCTTTTTGACCTTCTTATTGTATTTTTCCAAGCTTTCTTATTGCATGTTACCTTAATGCGTTTAACTGTAACGTTTGAATATTCACGTTGTCAATTAATATACTTCCAGAACTGATTTCCGTTAGTCTAAATAACGAAGCTAATAATGAGCTTTTTCCGGCACCGGTGCGACCGACGACACCTATTTTCTCAGCTGGTCGAGTACTAAATGTTACTTCTTTCAATGATGGCACTAAATGTTCTCTGAATTGTAATACATTATATTCGTCAAATATCTCGATAATACACTTATTGTCTTCTTTCTCTCTCTCTCTTTCTGATTTAAAAAGACAAAAACTATTACCTGTATTTTAAGACAACTTCTCTGAATTCTATAACACCCTGACTGGGCCATGCATAGGGCGGATTTTCGCCCATCGCATTCTCAGTCGGTACGTTATCCAAATATTGTTTGACTCGTTCCACTGCGATCATCTCTCTCTCAGTCTCGGTGAAAGAGTTCACAACTCCGGTTAACAATCCGGTTACAGATAGGGCGTAAGTAATTGCCAAACCGATCAAACCGGGGTCAGCTATATTATATTGATGTTGCAAAACCGCCATAACGCTGATTCCGGCTATAAGAGCGACACCGATAAATTGCAATCTTAACGCGAGCCATTGACTGGCGGCTATAGAAGCGAATTGCGTTTTCTGACTGGTTTCTAACAGCAATTCACTTTCCTGTTTAAAACGTGGTACAGTACGAAAGGCTCTGATTGTTGTTAATCCGTCCAAAGTTTCATTAAAGTGAGCGTACAGTGGAGATAATGTGATACTTGATAATCGTTTTACTTCTCTCGATGTTAATCTAAAAACAACAGTAAACACACATTTTACATTAAATATCGATGTTTATATTGAATGGGTGTATATTTTCAGAATTACCTGTAATGATTTTGTATCCAATGATAAATAGGTACAAGAGGAGCTAATATAAGGAAAATCCATGGTAGACCATAAGCTGTAACTATGATAGTAGCAACTAAACCGAAGACATGTGCCAGTAAAATATTCATAATAAAAGGTAGAGAATCATCGACTGTATATGTGTCAGACGAAAATCTATTTATAATTCTCCCAAGCGGTTGAATATCAAAAAATGTTGATTTTGCCTGAAAATATTATACGATATTTTTCTATTAAAGTCCTTTAAGTAATCAAAAATTATAATTATCTTATATTCTCAATATTTACCCGTATATATCCGCATATTTACCCGTATAATTATCTTCAGAAGCTGTCTATGCATTGTTATGGCTGCTTGCAGGCCACCGTATGCAAAAATAAATGCTCTAATTAAAGTAAAAATGGTGTTGAATACAGCAAGTAAACTGTAAATTGTTAAGTAATATTTTGTGTCGTGCAGACTGTCGTTATCATAGTAGAGTTGCAGTTTTCCAACTTCGGATCGTTCAGTGGAATTAATTGTCGTGTTGTTAGTGTGCGTTACCCAGTACGATAACCATAGATCTGTAACGTTCTTTGAACTTTGCATCAAAATCATCGAGAGAAATATCGAAATTGCCAGATACCGTCCTATAGCGTCGAGATAGCTCGTATACACCGAAAATTGAACCGTTCCTTTCTCGGTCACTTCTTTATCGAGCAAAGGATCAACCTCGTCTTTTTCCAATTGATTAAATTCACTAGGCAACATTGCTTTCATATAGGCAACATCTAAGTCACATTCAGTGTATTCTGATGATGATAAAAGATAATCTTCCAAATCGGGCAATACGTCGCTTGGTTTTCCTTGATTAATAATTTTTCCTTTTGACATTTCGATAACTACGTCCGCATGAACCAGATACTGAGTTTGATGTGTACATAAAATCCTGGTTTTATTTCCCAACAAGCCTAGAATTACGTGCTGAAAAACATATCGAGCAACTTTGACATCTAGTGTTGCTAATATGTCGTCTAACAAATAAATATCTTTATCTGCGTATACAGCGCGAGCCAAGGAAATTCTCGTCTTTTGGCCGCCACTCAAAGTGTTTCCGGCTTCGCCAACAGCCGTTAAATCTTTGTTGGGAAGCAAATTCAAATCGGACGTGAGAGCACAAGCTTTTAAAATGTTCCTATAATAAGCCAAATATCAAATTGATATCAATAATGTAATATAAAAGTATATAATAATATCAAGACATTTAAGACTTACCTGTATTTGTTATGATCATATGGTTTTCCAAATAGAATGTTATCTCGAATTGTACCGCGTTGTAGCCAAGGATTTTGTTTTACATATCCGAAACCTTTGTTATCGTCGTTAACAGATATTATTCCACTAGTTTTTGTAATTTCTGCTAGAATGCCATCAAGAAGTAAAGATTTTCCGCTTCCAACTTTACCCATTATACCGATTAATTGTCCCTATACGAAAAACAAGATCATTTCTTTTGTATTCAAAAAGCACCGCACATTAATTCCTCTTTTCTCTTTTTACCTTTTGTACAGATAAATTAATATTATGTAAAGCAAAAACATCTTCGTCTTCGAAAGTAACACTTTTCTTAATATCTGTACTTGAAGATGGAGTACTTAAAGTTTTTGAATTTTCGTTCGTACTATTCATGTTCTTCGGACGATTAACAATCAATGTTAAATTTTGCAGCAACAAATCAGAATCAGGATTGATATCAGTATAATATAACGATGTGTCCATATCTGGAAGCTGTGAATTAATAGAAAGTAAGAATATCAGAATATTGTGCAACTGTATAATCTATCATCGTTCTTTTAATATGTACATACGTCCAGCATTCTTTGAATTCTCTTGAGAGAAACCCATGCTTCCGTAAGACCATTTAAAACCCATGGAAATGCATTCAAAGGTCCTATCAACATGTTCAACAAAGCCATACTCGTAAAAACAGTTTTGGCGGTCAACTGATTGCCAGACAATACATATGTGGCAAACGTTAATATTGCGATGACAACGGGTGTAGTCGCCCAGAAATAAACACACAAGGCGTCTAAATATTTTCTACCTCGCAAGTATTTTATCTCGTCTTCTCTTATCTCTATACGTAAAAAAAATATTTAGATAAGAATGCTAAAAACAAGAAAAACCAACAATATCTTTATTTAGATTGTTTATCTAAAATTGTACTAACTGAGAATATTTCGTAAAAAATGCTCTTCCCATACATTAACTTTAATCGTAGTCATGCCATGCAATAATTCTCCCATTAGCCTCACTCTTTGATCTTTATATTCCATCATTTTGCAACTGAGTTTGCCAATTTTATTTGCTATTATTTTATTGATTGGTATAAGTATTATCGAAAACGCGACACCGGCTAAAAACGAAGCTCCAATTTGCTGATGGAGAAGATACAGTGTCACGAATAACTAAAACAATTTTTGCTGTTACGTTTGTCAACAAACGCAATGTAGATAAAATGTAAAAACATTATAATATATTAACATTATATAACTTTATGCTGTATTTATCTAAAAAGGATAAAGATATTGCAATATTATTACGCATTTACCTGTAATGGTATACTCCAAAATGTATGAAAACTGGGACAACTGTTGACTAATCTATCGCTATCGGTGCTCATAAAATTGATTATTTCACCAAAATTAAAATTGTGGTTTAAATCGATATTAGAAGAATGTAATGTTTTTCGATAGACTAAAGTTATAATTGCGGAGCGAATTTTTAAGCCCACAATANACATCCAAAAAGTAAAGTGAGTATTGCAAAAGGCACCTACAAAACATTTATATATCAGCGTAATTTATGTGACAAATATTAAAAAAAAAAAAATATCAAAGAGAGATTTTAAGTTTAATTTTGTACCAATTATAGCGCTGAGTATTATAAGAGTTGCATATAGATATCCGTACGAAATCGGCTCATTTTTATCTTCAATAAAGCCTATCAATCTACTTAGAAGTATTGGTCCCATAAACGAGCTACAATCTGCGATAAATTTCAAAATTCCAACCGCATAAAATTCCCAGCCAAAACATTCATGTAACAAGTAAAACAGTGTTGCTTTCTTTGTGATTACTTTTACACTTGTGGTGCTGTTAAGCGTCATTTCCGTATTATTCTCGATTCCATTGCTCATATTTTTTGGCTGTAACAATTGTCAGTTATTATATTCATAAAAATTAATTAAGAACCACGTGTCTAAACGAACAGAGAAGATAGCTATATTATCAATAACATTACGATTTTTTTTTACCACATTATTTAAACGCTTGTCAATTTTTTGACTGATTGCAGCAGTATTTATCTGATCAGGTAAATCANACAAATCATCAGAATGATTTAATAATCCCTTAACGCCCTTTTTCATTAAAGGCGTCACCCAATGAAACAGGAGCTTAGAAGCGATAGTTGTATCCTCCATAGCAATTCCAAGATAGTTTGGATCTTGTTCTTCAGGAAATTGTACATATGAGGAATTGGGGCTGGATAACAGTGCAGTGCGTTCTCCAATCTATAAACATATTTGTTCATTGATTCATGATGTCACTTGCTTGATAACCCATTTTTTCAATCTTTTTTAACTATTAAACAATTTCATGTGATAGAAGCTGAACTTACTACGGTATTTCGAGATGATGTCCTCGCGTCCTCTGTCCTGGACTTAGAACTCGGTATCAATGTTACGATGTAAAATATCAATAATGTGACTACACTGATGCTGAATCCTAATGATAAGTTTGGCAAAACGTCGTCTTTTGACTTATTATTGATATGACTACGCAACAGCAATACGGAAACAACAGTCAAAAGAAATATTAATGTTCGTATTAATAATGGGCCTCGTGGATTGGGATCTCGCCCACGTTTCAAACTCAAAATAAAACAAAAGTGCACAACCCATGCTAAACCTTNGGTACCTGCCACAAGATAATCTACTGGTTTAGCAGAAGTAAATTTATCACTAAAGTTGGATGATGTTGATGCAAAATCAACAGTATATAATGTAACAGGAATTGTAGTAGTATCAGCACTGTTTTTCTGTGATAAAATTGATTGAGCAAATTTCACAGTGTGGTTTAATCCATCATATATCCTGCTTATTATGTTTGCTTTGTCTATTGAGAAACTTGTATTGTGAATACCAATGTCTAATGTTGTTGGCACTGATGTAGTATGATCTTGCACTTCATCAGGGAAAGAAATAGTAGTATTAGTTAAAATAATATATGCCCTTATGATAGGCAATATTGTGAGACATATTGTGACAAAAATTCTAATGTTTAGAGCATGATAAGCATACTGTTGCCTAGATGAATATATATTTCTTTTTCCACAATAAAATGCTGAAGTTATAGCTATGAGCGCTAATACTGGTATCTAGAAAATAAAAAAATTAATATTTGATAAGTAAATTATGTTAATTTGTATGCTCGAAATTTAATGCAAAACAAACTTTTATTATATATTACCTGCAGACAAAGCTGTTGAAAACAAACATCTAAGTCATGTGTTTCAGGATTTAAAGGGCTAATACTTTTTTCATGTCCACATAACTCTGTCCAGTTCCATTTCCATCTTTCTACATTATTTATCCAATTTTCTGCCATCCTACAGTATTGCAATTACACAATAAATAATTATAAGTATGAAGAAGAATTTCTTATAAATCATATGAATTATGATCACGTAAGAAATTCTTTATCTTTAATAGGTTAAACAAATATTGTCAAAGCAATATAGAGCAATAATAACTCAAAAGCAAAATATAAACACAAACCTGTAAAAAACAAATTATATATATCTTCTAAAAATATTCCTTCAAATAAATCAAACAACAAAAAGACTATCTCTGAGAAATGAAATGTACACATTGTAAAATATTATTACTTTTGCTATTTTATGTTCAAAGAAATTTATAAAAGTTTTTAAACTTGTTCATTATTGCTACTTACAATCATGAGCAATAATACACAGATGTTTCTTGAACTTATTGATAAAGAAAATAAAATATGTAGAGATCAGAATAAATGTNACATTTAAAGAAAAAAGATTATAAGAATTACAAGACGACACTCTAGACGATTGACTTGATTGATAATCAATTATAAAGCAGATAAGAGGTCAAAATACAAATGTTGTTAATAAACAAATATAGTATAGCATATACAAAGAGTTACCTGGTGGTTGTAAAATTTACATTCATAAATATTACAAACACACACAATATTAATGATCACTGTGTTATTTGTTATAATTTTCCATTTGTATATTATATTTCTCGCTGCTGCGATTTCATAATCTCATATCGATAGTCTCAGGTTAGATTTTCCTTAATGAGGATGATGCGTACGTTGAGTAACGATCGATTGTTCAGCAAATTTTGACGGNATATTCTGTAAACAAGAATTTGTGTGCTTATTTATTCCATTTATCATAAATTACTATAATAAAAATCATTAGGAATATATCAACGTATGAAACGAAAAAACTAATGAAAAAACAAGTACGTTTCTTACGTGCGTTTTAGGTTCTAGGTTAGATAGATATATCGACGAACTTGACACGGTGGTGAGTAATGCAACGAACAATATAAACACAATTGACGTATCTGTATATATAAATTTATATTGTTTGATTTCTCGATTTTAAAGCAATTTCTTTATGAGCGAGACTGAAGAATCACAAACGCAAAAAGAAAACATGACTTTAAGAACAAAGGAAGTTGTTCCATGTAAAGAGGATGTGAATAATAAAGAACAAACCGTCGTTTTTGCTGTGTTGAATGCAACACATGATAAGCTTGAGGAAGAACTTCTGACTCATGTGGCTAACAGCAAAGCGATGTTTAAGAGTCAGCAGAAAGAAGATCCAGAGTTGACATTTGAAGAGAAGCGTGCTATAGCTGCAAAATCATTGGACAAGAGCCATTGCTTATTTTTATCAAAATTTGGACATTATTTGAAAGTAGAACATTTAGAGTATTTTAGCAAAAGCAAAGATTATGAAATTGTTTATCATGTAAACAGATTGCGAAGATACTTTAATAATTCTACAAGGCATGTTGATGTCAGAAACAGAAGATATGAAGCTCTAAAAACACTGATAGAGAAGGGAGAATATTTTAGCGAATGTGAAATGATGAAAAGAAATCCATTGTTGTACGAACACTTGATAGGACAATATTTAACCGAAAAGGAGAAAAAAGCTAGAGATAGCATAGATATACGTAATACAAACTATGTGGATGTTCTTATGGAAACTATTGAAAGGAACAAAGCAGAAAAACACCTGAAGTCTCAACAGGAAGAAGAAGAAGCAGTCCAAGAGGAAAGTGATTCGGATGATGATGACGATGATAGTAGCAGAGACAGTATTACATCCCAAAGAACAAACTCTAGCAAACACAGTCATTCCCATTGGGGAGGAAACTTGAACAACAAAACAGATAACAATTATAAGTATAGCGATAAGAGATTGCAAAAAAGAAAAATGGGACATAAAATACCAAGTGAAGAGTTACAATTACTCAAACAAGAATTTGTTACAAATATGTATCAGAGTTTCCTAGATGGTAAAGATAGAGATTTTGATTATAGGTAAACACAAAACCTTTACATATAAAAAAAAACTAAACTTTTTTTTTATAGAAATTTTAATTTAGCTTTCTATCTTATTTTCAGTACTGTGGATAATAATGAAGCTTATGATAATGTAGACTTGAGAGATCAAGATGAAGAAGAAAAGTATTTTGATTCTGAAGAACCTGAAACTATTCTTCCACATAACGAATGCAATAATGAAAATGAGTCTGAAGACGAGTTGGAAGCATATATGAAAACACTTAAGGTTAAATAATAGTTTTCATTTTACAATTGCCCCTGCTGTTGTTGGCATTGAATTACAGAAAGATTATTTTCACTAGGAGCAGACTCCTACAAATCCACTGTCTTTGGATAATCAGTCATAGCCCTACATGTGTACTGAAAATTACAATAAATATATTTATATATAACAAATCTATGTATGTATATATGTACATATATATGTATAAAGTTATATTTACTATGCAATTAAACCAATTTCCTCTTTTTACTTTATTTGTACTCATAAAATAAATATATAACCAAAAGTAAGATTCAATAATACCGGTTGTGAGTGTAGTGAGATGTCAAAATAAATGTTTTTATTTGCAATAATAATTTATAAAGTTTCTTTTAGTAAGTTTATAATAATTGTAAAACAAATTTTTAATGTTGTCTATGTTAGCCATAAAAATTGACTAATATTTAGTTAATCATTTTTTATATAATCCATATATATTTGAGACAAAAATCAATACATATATTAATGTAATTCCAATAGATAATTTTTGTTGGGACTTTATATTACAGTTTGGCTTTATATTACATATTGAATATCTTTGAATTTTATTCTATGCTTGTTTGTATACATTCAAGTTTAAAAATTTTCATTAAAATACATTTGGTTATTAAGCACATCATTGATATTGTAATCAAAAAGTATAAAAATGATAAGCTAAAGATTCCAAATTGGTTATGTGTATGACACACACACGTTATATTTTATCTTTGGTTGAGTGGGGCATACGTGTCAAAGCTGTGTTCGCAGTGCACCGTTTCTGTGTATTTATTTTCAATTCAAGAAAATGGTAAAAAAGAAACGTAACATTTTCTTTTATGAACAAAATATTTTTCGCAATTTAGCTTGCAGCTAGAGAAATGTATTTTCTCGCACCTCCAACCCATGTAACGCTAATCTTTGCATGAGAAATAGTTTGGCATTGTAAAGGTTATATCTGTCGCGTCAAATTTGAGAACTGTGTGCTTTAAAAGGTGTGATATAGAGTAGTGGAGAGAAATAAGATAATTACTTTTTTTATTTATCTTTTTTTTGCCTGTTCAAAACTTTTCTGATTAATATTTCTATGTATAGAAGGGCACGTATGTTTTATTACTATATTTTAATTATATATTATTGTATTATTGCATTACATAGTTTTTCTCTTATTATGACATAATTTCTCTCTTCAATTTTATTTAAAAAAAATTGGTTATTTCTAAATAAATCAGTAATAGTTTAACACAAACTTATATACCATTATATAATTACACATATGTACAAATATTTTTTATGTTGTACGTATATTATGTATACAAAAAAAGGATAGAGAAGAAATAAAAAAAGAGAGAAAGAGAGAATGAATATGTATAATGTTTTGTATATATGTATGTTTATACTTTTACATTGCACAAATTATATTTTTGCTTCTTTAGCTTCATAGTGAGAAACCAACAAGTGATAATTTTGAACAAATAAGTTGGACTTATTTTGGAAAAATCTATTTAATGTTTACCCTGCTTATAAGCACATTCTTAGTGCATGCTTGAGTGGCTTATTTTGTTATAGTACTACCTGGTATTCCTGGTAGGTATCTTTGTTTTTCTCACAGCCAATGACACCTGCCATAACGGGAATGGAGGAACAAGAGAAGCTGTTGGAAGATGCAATTGGTGTGGTAAAAGTACAGGCTTTCCAAATGAAACACTGTTTAGACAAGTCCAAACTGATGGATGCACTGAAACATGCCTCTACCATGTTAGGAGAACTCAGGACTTCTCTTCTAAGTCCAAAGAGTTATTATGAATTATGTATCCTTATTATTTTTAACTATTTTACCAAAAAGAGAGAGAGATACTATATTTAAATTAATATTTAATATAATTTTTCTTATATAATAATAATTGTTAGATATGACAATCACAGATGAACTACGGCATTTAGAATTATATTTGTTGGATGAATTTCAAAAAGGAAGAAAAGTTACAGATCTGTATGAATTAGTACAATATGTTGGTAATATTGTGCCTAGACTGTAAGTATCTGCTTTGCAACTTTGCATTATAATTTTTTAATTGATGTGTAAAGAGAATCTAAATAATTTTGCAGATATTTACTTATCACAGTTGGTTTGGTTTACATAAAAACAACTCCTGGTTTGAAAAGAGATCTTATGAGAGATCTTGTGGAGATGTGTAGGGGTGTGCAGCATCCGTTGCGTGGTCTGTTCTTAAGAAATTATTTGTTGCAGTGTATAAGAAATATTTTACCAGACGTTGCTGAAGGCGAGGATGAAGATGGGACTGTACATATTTTTTATCACATGTATTTTAAATCACAAACATTTTGTTGTATTCACTATTATACTTGAAACTTCATTTCCAGGTTCGCGACAGCATAGATTTTGTTCTGATGAATTTTGCAGAAATGAACAAATTATGGGTACGCATGCAACATCAAGGTCATAGCAGAGATAGGGAAAGAAGAGAAAGAGAAAGAGAGGAACTTAAAATCTTAGTAGGAACAAATCTTGTACGACTTAGTCAACTGGAATCTGTAACTTTGGATAAATATAAAAAGGTATATTTTGTTAAAAAAAAAAAATATGTTATTTCGTAACTAGAAGTGATCAACAATTTTTACAAAATTTTTTGTTTATTTCTAGCTTGTACTACCAGGAATTTTGGAACAGGTGGTTAGTTGTAGAGATGCAATAGCACAGGAATATCTTATGGAGTGTATAATTCAGGTACATTTTCTTTATACGCTGTTATTTTCCAAATAATATATTTAAAATAAACAATACATTTAAATTATTATTTTATATACTTATATCTAGGTATTTCCTGATGAATTTCATTTACAAACGTTAAATGCATTTCTGAAATCCTGTGCGGAATTGCAAAATGGAGTGAACGTCAAGAACATAATTATATCGTTGATCGATCGGCTTGCAGCCTTTAGTCAACGGTCTGATGGTGTAGGAGGGCCAGGAAGTCCTAATCAAGTACCAGGAATTCCGCAAGATGTCAAACTTTTTGATGTATTTAGTGATCAAATTGCGACTATTATACAGGTATTTATTAAATTTATAAATTTAATCGTTGATTTATATAAAAATGCCATTCAATGACGATTAAGATGCTACACAATACATCTGATAATTGATACATGATGTGCGCTTATAAACCAAAGAATAAATCCTTACTTTCTAGTTTAAGTCTGAGAATGGTTTGGAAACATTTCACGTGTGTTTGTATTTTGATTTATACAATGTATTTTATATTATATTTATATATAAACAATATTTATTGTAGACAAGACAAGATATGCCTCCCGAAGATATAGTATCCCTTCAGGTAGCTCTTATAAACCTAGCACATAAATGCTATCCTGATCGGGTAGATTACGTTGATAAAGTCTTGTTCACAACAGCTCAAATATTCCAGAAACAAAATGTTGATAAGTAAGCATATGACTTATAAATACACATATGTGTGTAAACACGTGTGTGTTTTGTTATAATTGTCATTTACTATTTTATAGATTGGAATATAACAGTGCCGTTTCAAGAGAATTAGTGAGATTAATGAAAATTCCCGTAGACAATTATAAGAATATATTAACCGTACTCAAACTAGAACATTATGCACCTCTTTTGGATTATTTTGATTATGAAGGTCGAAAATCGTTGGCCATTTATATAATAACAAATATTCTTGACAATGAAACATTGATACCGACACAAGAGCAAGTAGATGCAATACTGTCCATGGTATCTCCCTTGGTGCAAGATCAACCGGATCAACCTATCATAGAGGAAGATCCTGAAGATTTTGCCGAAGAGCAGGGATTACTAGGTAGATTAATACATCATTTCAAATCGGAAACACCAGATCAACAATATATGATACTAAGTGCCGCAAGAAAGCACTTTAGCGCTGGTGGTAATAAAAGAATAAAATACACTTTGCCGCCCATAGTATTCCAAAGTTATCAATTGGCATTTACATATAAAGCATTGAAGGATCAGGTTTGTAATTTGTGTTACGAAGTAAGAGGATAAGATCTAAAACAATATCCTTTTGTCTTATTTTTTTTTTTAGGATGAAATGTGGCAAAAGAAGTGTCAAAAAATTTTTCAGTTTTGTCACACAACTATTACCGCGTTAATGAAAGCCGAATTAGCCGAACTACCTTTAAGATTATTTTTGCAAGGCGCAATAGCGATCGGCGAAATCCGTTTCGATAATTTCGAGATGGTCGCTTATGAATTTATGAGTCAAGCATTTTCGATATACGAAGATGAAATAAGCGATTCGAAGGCGCAGCTCGCGGCAATTACCTTGATCATCGCCACGTTCGAACAAATGAGTTGTTTCGGCGAAGAGAATGCAGAACCTGTGCGCAATCAGTGCGCTTTATATGCCAGCAAGTTATTACGAAAACCTGATCAATGCAGAGGAGTCGCTACTTGCTCGCATATATTTTGGTCGGGAAAATCTTTGGCTACAGGTGGAAAAGAAGTACGTACGAAGGCGTCATACATAATTCCGATCGTGTTTGACAGATGAATAATATGGAAAATATACTAAAATATACTTACAGATGCAAGAGGGTGGTAAAGTGTTAGATTGTTTGAAGAAAGGTATTAGAATAGCAAGCCAATGCATGGATACGTCGGTGCAAGTCCAGTTATATGTGGAATTGTTAAACCATTATATTTATTTTTACGAAAAAGGAAATACAGCTGTAAGATCTAAGTTTTAAAGTAGCTAACGTTAACTTATTATATTAACGTGTTATCGTTTTTAAATGAAATTGATTTTTTTTTTTCAGGTAACTGTGCAAATATTGAACCAAGTAATTGCAAAAATTCGAGAAGAGCTTCCCAATTTGGAAGCAAGCGAAGAAACCGATCAAATACAGAAACATTTAGCAAACACATTAGAACATCTAAGAAATAGAATGGAATCGCCGGATTCTGACGGTCTTAGTTATCAAGGCCTTGTTCTTTAACAGCGTAGAGTCGACGATGTAATTTTGTAAATAACAAAAATGTCTAGAGTATATATACGGATAATATAATTCAGTTAGTTGTGTATTAATACTGGTTAACAAACATTATGTGTTCCTGATTTGTTTAAACAAATTCATTAAACACTTAGCAAAATGTTTTTACGATTCTGATGTTGCTACAAGATTATTAATTGTAAGATTATTTCTTAATCTATAGATAGTTTATTGGAATGTATCAAATTGCCTATATAAAGTAAATATAATTCTGTATCAAGTATATATATATATAGTAAATAGTAAAAGTATATAATAATTGTATATTTGTTTTACATACTGAAATTTTATTATATTAATAAAACAATTTCGCAATTCACATCAATACAAGTATATTATTCCCATAAGGTACTGTGAAGCACCTCTCTCAGTCTTCTCTCTGGCGAGGGTGACCATCACATTTATATTTCTTCCGACGCTCTTGGTCCTCCCATTGATTTCAGCGCCATATATTTTCAAAAGTGGATGTCGCGCACTGTAGTTCCTATGAAAAGAAAACCGGTCTAGAAACCAGGAAATATTCGCGCGTACATAACTGGAACAAGAACTTTTTTTTTTTTTATATTTCATTGATTGTATATCAAATATTTTACATTTGTGCTCGTAAATTCTATTCAATTTTATATATGTATATAAAATGCATCACTGTAGACATAACGCTAGCAAATAGGGCAGAAGAGTGATAACAGTTAAAATGCGGCCGTGACCGTGAGAGTCTGCTTTTGGTATTCTCTCTGATTCTAGTTACAGCGCAAGGTAAATATATATTTTTAAGACAAAAAATGGGTAAAGGACGAACAAATAAGCCACGGAAGCACTTTGCCGATAAACGACGTGAAAAACAAAAGGTAACATTATTAATAATATTAAACGAAAAGATTTACAATTAAGTGAGAAGGTTATGTATATATGGTTGCCGATATAATATAGACGCTAAGAATATGTGATATATAATTAATTTTTTTTACAGAAAAAAGAATGGGATAAAAATACCCCACATAAAAGCTATGCAGACATCATAAGAGAAAATTCCGACTTTGAATTATATTATAAGACACAGAAAATAGTTCCAGAAGACAAGTGGAACATGTTTATCAGCACTTTGCGGACCAATCTTCCAGTTGCTTTTCGAATTACTGGCTCAAAAGCTGAAGCTAAAACATTATTAAAGATAATTAAAAGTGATTTCTTTAAAGGAATTTTGAATGCAAATTTGGATGATGATAAGGAAAAGTCCGAGACAAAATCTATATTACATAGTTTACCATTTTATCCAGAAGAACTGGCTTGGCAGTTGCAGTTAACTAGAAAAGATATTAGACGATCTGAAGCTTATTTCAGATTACATAACTTTCTTATTGCTGAAACTAACAATGGCAGTATTAGTAGACAGGAAGTAGTTAGCATGGTTCCTCCTTTAGTTCTGGATGTCAAACCTTGGCACAAGGTATTTATGTTTGATTCTACAAAAACTTTTGTTCTAAAATAAACTAAAACTTGCAAATCTTTATCTGCAGGTTCTCGACATGTGTGCAGCACCAGGATCCAAAACAGCACAGCTTATAGAAATGATACATGCAGATGAGGGAAATGTTTTTCCAGGTAATTAATATTAACAATAAGTTGCAATTATATATATATATATATAAATTACACATAAGTGTAATTTTAATATGTATTCATAAATTTTTATTTTAGAAGGTTTTGTAATAGCTAATGATCTTGATAATAATCGTTGCTACATGCTAGTACACCAAGCTAAAAGACTAAACAGCCCAAACATTCTTATTACTAATCATGATTCATCAGTCATGCCAAATTTTATATTCACAAAATCAGATGGTACAAAAGACACATTAAAGTAAGTAATTTTATAATGTTTTATAATGTTTTAGTGTTTATCTTTACATGATTATTATATAAACTTTTTATTTCTGTAGGTTTGATAGGATACTTGCAGATGTTCCATGTAGTGGCGATGGTACTATGCGAAAGAATCCTGATATATGGTGCAAGTGGAGTCCTGTTAATGGCAATAACCTTCATGGGTATGTATAATACGTAAGTTTTTAATATATTTATGTATTTGTTAGAGAACAACAGAGAATACTAATTGTATTGTGACTTTTAAAGAATCCAGTATAGGATTGCAAAACGAGGCTTGGAATTGTTAGCAATTGGAGGGAGAATGGTATATTCTACATGTTCGTTAAATCCCATTGAGAATGAAGCTGTACTTCACAGGCTCCTTTGTGAGACTGGAGATTCAGTGCAGTTAATTGATTGTAGAAATTTGGTACCAGGTTTGATATGTGATCCCGGTAAGTTTTTAAGTAATTTTTAACAAATAACACAATATGAATAAGAATAATAGTATATTCTGCAATTTCTTACACAGGTGTCACACACTGGAAACCTGCATCTAAAAATTTACAATTTTATGACAATTGGAGTGATGTGCCAGAACAATGGCAGACACAAGTACGACCAAAAATGTTTCCTCCGCAAGCGGATGAAGTGTCTAAATTTCATCTTGAACGTTGGTAAATATTAGTGTCCGACCGAAACTAGTTTTTACAACCAAAACCGAAACCGAAACCGAATTTCGGTTTCTGTCTCAGTTTCGGCCGAAACCGAAACCGAAACTTCCTTTTATAGTAAGTCCTTATTACAGTTTTTTAGTTTGAGCCTGTTTCTGTTAAGTTTAGCTAGCTGCAGGTGTGTATGTGTTTAAAAAAGCCCTTATTCGATAAACAAATAGCTTTATTGCTCTTAGACAATCAACAAAAAAAAGTAAAAAAACAAACGTTCTTCTGTATGTGAGGTGAGGTGTGTAATTCATACAGAAAGAAAATCATTGATTACTGCAGTTTTTATTATCACACACACACACACACACACACACACACACACACACACACACACACACACACACACACACA